ATCCACAGAGCATAGGGGAGAAAGACGAATAAAGCACAATAATTCACCTGTGTGGCATTAATTAATGATGGCATACCAATGTCTGGACACTCTTGTGCAATGAGACAATGCTACGTTTGTGCAATAAGGTTTGATGCAGAGAGGTAATTGTAACCAGCAATCGTACCAGGAGTTTGGATGGAAGAGAGAGATTGATTGTCGGGGGGTCTTTGATGGAGGGATGCAGCAAAGGAAATCACATTGTAGAGTGTTAGTGGAGTTATTGCGATGCGCTCGCAAATGGCGGTGATGGTGACAGGAACAGTAACAGCACAGATATTTTCCTAGTTGGTAATAAAAGGTGGTGCCGTTCAGGGCATCGTGTAAATGACGCACCTTTTGTTCACTCGCCGCCTTACGTCCTCACCCGGACCCTCTCCTGCTTCCCGTTTTACACTCTTCCGGCCCCGCCCATGCCGCATGCTTGTAGTCCCGATACACACATCCACCCATCCAGTTCTACCTCCTCTTCATCAATAACCGTGACATTCTGTTCATTTCGCGCAGAAAGTCGCTTCACTCCGTGGTAAATGCCTTTTAGCATGTCAATTTGCAAGAGACACAGTGAACTGGAGACACATTGACTGGACGAACTCGGCACTACCTTCGATCCTAGCTACCTCGTCATTTGACGCTCAAGTGCTCTGCTTTTGAGACTCTGTAACTGGCTACATGACAGTGGAGGTGAGAGGATTTCGAACCTCCAGATGGATATGTTCCACCTACTTTACCGATCGGTGAGCTCAGCCCGATGGAAGAACAGCGCCCATTTACTAGCTTGACGAATTCTCAGCAGTACAGTCAAAGGTTTTGTAGTGGCTTATGTAGGTGAGCAACTCCTCCCCTTCAATTCAAAACTCCCCATTACATTGGCTGATGCATTTGTATTGAGACACTCGTTGTCGCGAGAGTGCATAGCGTGACAGCATGGGTACTAACTGTCGAGACGGCGTTGAAATGGTGTCCATATTGCATTTCCAAGGCATTCAGTGCAACCTCATGCCTTCACTTGTCACCTTACCATCTGCTTTCAATGCCTATCTGCTGTCTGAACGTCACTGGTAAATTAGTCGCCCGATTTTGTGTGGATGAGGGTCGTTGAGCGAATTCAGCACGCCTACGTGCAGTCGAGCAGTGCCGAGGTCAAAGCGTTTGTTTAAAGGGTCCAGAATGTACGCTGGGATCAAGACATGGAGGAGCGCATGTTTGGATACTTGAAGATGAGTGGTTCCTCTTTTGCGTAAATG